GACTATTGACCATACTGACCATTCTATTATTGGCTGGTAGAAGCTGAATCCCAGAATAACTGGAGGGTGCCAGTTTGGGAAAGGCTGGAGACCATTGCTGATCAAGAAGTGCAGATGGGCCAATGGCCTCACTGCTCCCTGTAAAGCAGCTCCCTGTACCTTGTGTAGTAATTGATTTAGAGCAGGACTGGACAACTTCCGGAGGTTGAAGAACCTCTTCTACACTGACCACCTCTGTGGACCACAGTCTACCAGAAGAGCTATGTATAGGGGTTTTATAGTACTATGAAATACCAAAAAAGTCAGATTTAGCTGGCTTGGAAGCCAAGTTTGTCTTTTTGCCTCTCCATAATGCTAGAAACGCCATTTGTCCCCTAAAATAATCTTTATAAAATTGGGGGAGGGACAGGGGACTACAGTGAGAAATGCATGCAGCCCATAAGCTTCCTGTTGCTTACTTCTGACTTCTGTGTGTTCAGCAAGTTGCTTTCTAAGTATTTTCATTGGAGTGGGTAGTCCTGTACATACACAGAAAGCTCCTTTGCTTGCTAGGCATTTCTGGATTTGGATGACAAACTACAAAGTGTATAATAATGCTCATCAAATCCCCTTGAAATTATTCCACTGGCTGAAGGAATAATCCACCCACAGCCAATCAGTCTATAACTGCAGACCAGTTCTTGCAATAGAACCACGGCTTGCCACACTGATGTGACCACCTCTGAAGCTGGGAAGTTGTTTATGTATGAATTGTGTGTGCATGTTTTGGTTGTGTGGTTGTGGAAAGTGTTCTTTCCTAAGCTACATTATGCAGTGTGGTAAGAAATAATCCAGCTTGATTTATATCTATTCAGACTAATAAATTATTTTCATTATTTTTAAAAGAACTTGTTCTGAAGTCAGATAATTTGCTACAGCTTGATTTTAGGACTATCAATTACTCAGAAATAAATCCCACATTGTTGAGTGGCATATACTCCATTATGAGAATGTATAGGATCATATTCCCAAATCTGATTTCTGTTGAGACTTAAAGAAAGCAACAAACAAGAGAAATGAGATCAAAATGCAATGGATTATAGCCATGCTTAGATTAGTCTAATGAAATTAAAGGGACACACTATTCATTTGCCCCATTGATTATAAAGGGTCTACTTTAAGCATAACTAAGTCCAGATCCATACCAAAGCCAGTTTAAATATAAAAATAATTACCTTTTGAAGTTATATATTTAAATGACAACTTAAATTTCAGATTTTAGTTTGTCTTTCTAGCCGTGCTGAAATGATATAAACAATAGAATTGGGGGTAGGGGGTCTTCCCAATGTGAGAAAAGAGAGAGAGAGAGAGAGAGAGAGAGAGAGAGAGAGAGAGAGAGAGAGAGAGAGCGCGCGCGCGCGAGCGCAAAAGAAAGATGATCATAGTAAAATCATTCCTGTTCCTCAAGTTTCATCGCTGCATACAATCCAGTTATGTCTGCATGATGTGACAACCCATTGTGGGTTGCAGCCCATGATAGGTTGTCATCCAAATTTCCCCACAGTGGCGCATGCTTGGGCAGCAAGCCACTCCAACAGTCAATGTGCTCCTGTAGGGAGTATCCATGATGGATTGTTGTATCTTCCAAACCTGGATGATTGACCCATCATAGGTCTGGGGAATCAGCTATAGAACCTCATGGCAAGATAAGCAAAATACCCATGCTGATCTTGCCATAGGGCTCCCTAAGCAAGCACAAATGCTACCCACTCCAAAGTGCCCCAGATGGCCCTTGGAGACAGTACTGCCTTTCCACCCTCTTCATCACTGGTTATGAGCCATTTGGGGCTTGCTGTAGCTTCCTCCCTGTTTGGAAAAGCCACTGGGCATTTTGGAGGCACTGCTCATAGCTGTCAAAACAAAGATCATTCTCTCCAGGAGTTTAAAGGGGAGGAGCTAAGGCTAGCCTGAAATGGCCTGCAGCAAGGAGAGGGAAGTTCCTCCCATACGGTTCCCTAGAAACATGTGGAAGGACTCTGTATGTTGTTCATATGACAACCAACCCACCATGGCATACTGGGAGTGTGGGTTATTTTGATATCTTCTCATATGTGAGTGTTGGTAAGAAACTTGTCTTTTATACAAGGAAAACAAGCAAAGACTCTCAAGACATGTAATTTTTCAGCTCTCATAATATATACCATAGTCTGCAGAGATCCTGCAAATATTTTCCACTTGACATTGTGTCATAAGCAATGCCTGCGAAAAGTATCTATTTCACTTTGAAAATCTAACTGTTGAAAAATGCAATTAAAACAATGCAATGGAAAGAATATAAGCAAAGCTATATGGACAGTGGAATAATGTTGTGAAACTCTAGGTGTGGAGCAAATTTGCATGTTCTCCAGTATTAAAAAATAATGCTTGCTGAACACAGAAAACTAGAGAACAGTTTAGAAAGAAAGGCTAAAAGATGATTTTCTCCCTGAAGGGCTAATTTTCTAAATTCAGAAAGATTTTTTTTAATGCAATGTTCTTGGCCTTTCACCAGAAGTGGTACAGTCCAGCAAGTACTGAACCATGTGCTTATCCTGAGCACATAGACTCTGCCTGGTGAGTTTATTATAACTTAATGCAAGCCCTCTAGTTCATTCTCTGAGTTTTCAGATCTGCAATATGTGTACATAAAGATAACCATCACCTATCAGAGCAGTTATTATACTGTACATGACAAAATGCTCTACCTTCAGTGTAGACAGATTTGCAAGGGGAAATATTTGCATTTATGTCCTTTGACTTGTAGCACTTTTCTGCACAAGCAATTCAAATGTCTTCATTTGTACAATGAAAAGAGAAAGGGGAAGGAGGACAAAACAGAAAAAGAACACTTTTTCTGGTTTCCTTCTTTCTCGAGAGTTAAAATGCACATCAGTTCCGTTAAGTAAGTCCTGCACAACTTGCGACCTCCCCTATAGTGCATGACATGCATTATATTTGCCATGTATGGTGACCTTCAGCCTAATCTCAGAAGCTCTCCGCATGCAATCAGGTCAGACCTCTGGTGAAGAGTGAGCTGATCGTTCTATGGCAGCCTGCTAGGTGAGAAGGAAGAGAGAGAGAAAAGGGGGCAAGGGACAGGGAAATGGATGGCCCATCCATTTTTCGCTCTGGTTCTGCTTGTCAGTGGTCCCCTGCAGGCCACCAACTACCACCAACATGAAGCAACAGATTAGCTGCAAGCAGGACACAATAAGCACAGCGCCTAGAGTCTATGAAACTCCCAAGGGCTTATAAAAAAAAGTCTGGAACCCATGAAAAGCTTCAATTTAATGAAAGCAAGTTATTGTCTGATTTAGGAGTTTGCCCATAGGGATAGAATATACCTTTAGTGTAAATTAACTCTTTAACTGCTTTTGTTAGCAAAAACACAGGATATACCTTCACATTGCTTTTTAATTTTTTGCAAAAGCTTGTTCTCAGTTGTGATGAGGGAAGATGATCATTTATGTCTAAAAATTTCAAGTTTGAAAAAGAGTACTCTAAATAAGGCAAGATACATTCTACAAGCAGTGTTCACATTTGGAAAGCTTGTCAACAATTTGCCCATTATTTTTGCAATGTTAATTTCTGCCAGAAATTTCCTGTGTGTATTACATGAGAACAACAGAAATTCATCTGTGAGTGCATGTTGACAACCTGACTGATAGGCGTACATTAGCTAAACCTTTAACCGAGTGTGCTGTAGTCTGCTTGCCATCTGCCCTTCTCAGTGATAAGTTTATGTTTCATAGGATAGAAGGGTTGCATGCATAATTCTTCATTGGCACTGAAACCCAAGTTAGTATTATCCAGGTTAAATTTATTAAAAGAAAAGCAAAGCAAAAAAATAAGAAGCAAGCTGGTTAGCTATCATTGGCTTGGCTTGTGTAGTCTTTCTAGTGGGGTGGCTTGTGTAGTCTTTCTCACCATCTAGTAGGGATAATGTGAGTCCTTTCACAGAAGCATTGTCATTGGCTAATGGCTAGGCAAGGTTTTCAGGTCTTAGGTTTGCCAAATTTTGTTAACGGAGGTAGTAGCCATATGCCCTGTCCTGGTTCAGTTTTCCAAACCTTTTGAAAATTGATATGAACAAGAAAAAGGGAAACTATGTGGCAATTATTTTCCCCTCCTGGAGACAAGGGATAAGACCGCTCTGGACCATGGGAGCAACATTTCTTTTTAGCTCTGTTACATAAGGGCAATTGATGACAGCCACACAAGTGATTTGGAGCATAGAAAAGTTCTGGTATATTTAAATAAAAAGATAAGAATGTGAGAGAATATCTGAGGACATTGGAGTAATATTGTGGGATTCCGTACAGATCTTTTGGAGGCTATACTCATTTCCAGGGGTGTGCACCACTAGCACAAGGAAACACACAATCACCCTTGTGTACAGATCTGTGATTATGGGACCTAGACAATATAAATATTTATCTACAGCTCTATCTTGGGTCCCTATGATTATTGCCTACAGAGACTTTAATTTGACCCTGTCCATGAGGGGGAAAGGCCCTTGACAGGAAGGAAGGACGGAAGGACGATCACCCAACCTGCTCTGGTTTTGCTGAGATTGCAAAAAACTGGGCAGGGTTTGCTCAGCCCCCTGCAGGCAGCAATAAATGGCAGCTGGTGTGCAGGCCTTGCTTGACATCTAATCATATTACTAGCAAGCAATCCTGTCTGCATGTTACAGAGCTATTGGGCCAGCTAGGTGTTTGACAACCCCACTGTTTTGCATCTAATACAGGAGTTATTTATGAATCATAGAGATATCCATGTAATAATAATTGCCTAATATAGCACTTGAAATAATTCTGCTGGACACACAGAAATGTAAGTACATCAGTAATTTGTCATTTAAGTGTATTATACATTCTGCTGAGAAATGCTTTCCTTTGTGTTCATTGTTTCTTTGCCACAATGTTTTTGATTGTTTAAAAGAAAAACACTGAGTGGCGTCCCTCTATTATTTCTTTCAGCCAGTAATATTAAAATAGAGAAACAGAGTGATGAAGAGAATGGGCGTGCCTGTGAAATGAATGGGGAAGAATGTGCGGAGGATTTACGAATGCTTGATGCCTCTGGAGAGAAAATGAATGGCTCACACAATGGCAGCAAAGCCATGTCAGGAGTTGGAGGCATTCGACTCCCTAACGGAAAGCTAAAGTGTGATATCTGTGGGATAATTTGCATCGGTCCCAATGTGCTTATGGTTCACAAGAGAAGCCACACTGGTAAGGCCTAGCAGAGTTTTTTTTCCCTTCAGACTCTGGAAAGGTTGCTGCATCAATAGGAAGATATTTAAGTATTGTGAGGACGTAATCTCTTGCCTGATGTGTAGAACTTAAGTATTTACAGTGTCATTCCTTGCAAACAGCATCTTTTACCCAAAATCAAAATAAGTTGATTCCATAATAAGTCATAGATGCCCTCTTCTAGTAAGGAAAAAAGTTTGAAGGCACCTTCCACACTTAGATTTGCTTGTTTAATCAGGAGCTATGTGTACACTGCTAGGATGGGCATGTTTGTGATATCATAACGTACTTTTGGACAAGAAGCATTTGTTATTTTCTCCATTCATACAAAACAGTGGTTTGGATCCAAGATCTGCCTTCCTCAAAAGGAAAGGATCTTGAGAGGATGGAGCTCTGTTGGTGGAAGGACACACTCCCTAATTTGGGGAGATACCCTTTGTCCCTACACATACATGCATTTGGTGAGGCCTGGGCAATACAAAAAGTATGTGACATGTTTTAGAGTAGAAGCAAAATAGTGTAGTTAATGTAGATACAATGTAATTCCATATGTGTTTGCTCAGAAGTAAGTCCTCTTTCTTAATCACCCTTCATCACAAGGATTCCAGTACATCGTGCATAAGGGTAAATTTAACTGCAAACATACCAAATAAATATAATATAGCAAAACATTTATCACCATTAAAAAGTATAGCATTTCTATGGTCCCAGGGTTGACAGGATTATTTTGAATTTCTCCCCCAAAGCCTTGGGCTCTCCTATAGCTTTGAGGTCTAATCCTTCTCCCTATTCCCTTGCAGCTGCCCTAGAAAGAACCATGGCCATTCCAGAAAGAGAAAAGAGAAGCAATAATCTGTCTAGAGAAAAACAAAGGAGGACAGAAAGGAAACATCTTTGTTATTCCTTCTGTCCTACTAGGTGTCTGCCTGCAAAGTATAGGATACCTGATTTTGGAGCAGTCCTTCAAAGGGTATAGGATTATATCCTAAAGCATAACATTGTTTGTAACCCACCCCGAGGCTTCTGCGAATGGGGTGGCATAAAAATGTTTTAATAAATAAATAAATAATAACCAACCCCCCGAGAAAGAAACTTTAAAATGCTTGGACAAATAGGAAGATCTTGACCTGCCTTCTAAAAAACTGTAGTGTCCATGTGAGTTCAGCCTTTTTGGGAAGAGTAATTCCACTTTTGAGGGCCTTTCTTAATGCATCTTACATATCTGCTAAACAGAGAAGTTTGCTTTGAAATGTTTGCTTGTTATAAACTAACAAATGATTAAATGTTTCCAACTGTTTTAAAATTACATAAGAAAATACTCATGTTCTGGCTAGTTTTTATGTTTTCTGATAATCATATAAGAACATCTCATTTCCTTTGTTATAACATAGAAAAGAATATATTTGAATAGATACACGGGGGGGGGGGGGCGGTTTGAACATGGCATTGGCAGAGGCAGTTTTCCATTTTATAAAATAGAAGAATGGGTTTATTCTGTTTTTTTAGACAAATATGCCATGTATTTGCTGCCTCAAGTGATATGGTATAGTCTTTTGTTCATGAAATGGTCAGGAACCTCTGTTGGCTTACTGCAAGTTCTGAAAGAAATTAAGTAGAGAAGGTGATCTCATGAAATGGATTGAAATGTTGTTTGTTTACTGAATAAAATTGTGATAGAAAATGTTGTCAATTCTAAGCAGGGTTGGATTATGCTGATTATGTTGATCTATTATAATCCAGTTTCACACATGGTTTTAGTATAGTGACAGCCTTGGTTGTCCTTGTGACTATCATCTACAAATAAATGGAGCAATCCTGGTCCTCTTGGTGGCTTTTGATACCATCAGTCTTGGTGTCCTGAACCAGCTGTCAGACTGTGTTTAGGAAGCACAGAATTAGAGTGGTTTCAGCACTTGCTTGAGAATTGGACTCCAAAGATGGTTTAAGGGGCCTGTTGCTCCATTGATTTCTTTATTAATTTATCCAATGCATCAATTGTCCCTATAAGCTGTGTAGGGTGCTGTAAGGTTCTATCTTGTCTCCTCTGCTTTGTAATAAGTATGTGAAAGCACTGGGCAAATTAAACTGGTAGTCTGGGCTAAGATGTCATCACTATGCAGATGGTACTCCCTATTACTTTTCATTCTTCTCAGGGAACCAAGATTCAATTTGGATGCCAGGAAGTACTTCCTGACAGCTAGGACCCCAAGGCAAGGCCGTCTTAACGCATGGGCCTGATGGACACTTGCCCGTGGGCACCATACTAATCTGTGTATGTTAACCCTTGGAAAATTGGAAAACTTCCAAAATTAACAGTAGTTGTAGTTGTTGTAGGGCCCCCAATACACTGCTTTGCCCAGGACCCATAATTCTGTTAAGATGGCCCTGCCCCAAAGGTATGGGATGGGCTTCCACGGGAGATGGTTGAGGCTCCATCGGTGAGGGTGTTCAAGGATAGACTAGACATGCGCACGGTGGGCATGTCATGAGCAGAGCTGGCTGGACCTGGGGGTCAGACTTGATGGCCCAGGAGGCCCTTCTGACTATCTCTGTTTCTATGTTTCATTCTCATCTGATCATCCTGAGGAGGCCAAGGAACTCTTGAAGTGGTCTCTGGAGGAAGTTGTGGGTTGGTGAACAAAGTGAAACTTGATCCAGACAAGATTCAGGAACTGTCAATAGGGAAACTGATCAGGTTCCAACATTACAGGGATCTAAATGACCCCTGAAGCCTCACTGGTTTACTTTCACTTATCATTGAGTTAGGAGTCTGTTGAAACTGTTATGTAAGTCAAGATACCTGATTTTAACTGTTAATTTTGTTTTTATCATTGTTCCTGTTCTTTTATCATGTTTTCTGTTTTTAATGTTGTTGTATGTTGCTGTGAGAGGTTTAATGAAAAAATAAATTATACATCATATATTAATTTATAAGTTGCCTTAAAGGTGGCTTACAAATCTTTTAAATAAACAAGTAAAATGTGTCATTAAGCACAAGCTAAACATAGAATTAGAAAAATCAAAAGCAAATTGGACACTTTAGGTACATTAACAAGGCCCCAACTGTTCCAGAAGAAGAATGAAATGAATTGAGTGATACATTAACTTTGGTAGGAGCAACTATTAAACAAGGTAATTATGCAAGTTGAAGAACAGGAAAATAAATCCTAGGTAAGTAATTGAATATTTTCTAGTATTCCTGAAGGAATGGTGAGGGGTGGCTTCTTTATTAGAAGTATAGGCAAAAGAAGCCAAGCATGATTCAGTATTCATGCTGCAATCTAACCTGATAATTAACCTGGTGATAATTTTAAATACTTGAGCAATGATTGAAAGTAGGTGATAGCAGCATACTGTGTGGAAAAAGTCAAATCTGATGACCCAGCATTCCTTCATCTAGATTCTATGAAAATGATCACCTGAAATTGTTGATTGTTAAAGAGCATTGGCTTTTCATTGAAAGATAATTATCTATTGCTTTGCCCTTCAATTATATTTCTTCTGGGAATGAGACAGTATTTATCCTATTTAGGTGGAAGAACATTTGTTTTTCGAAGGAATTAATGTTTGGGTAAAGAAAGGCTAAAGGAGGTGTGATCTATGTTGTTGTATTCTGTGGTCATTTGGAATGAGCACTTCCACTTTGCTATAGGAAGAACCTGCCTAAATTTTTCAGCGCATCCTATTGTATCTATAGTGAGATTCTCATTTTGGTTTGAGTGTTCTTAAGTGTTTTCTGTTCTGTTCTATGCCATTGGGTGTCCCATATTCTGTTCCTAATTTCAAAGCAGTAAAAATAGATAATTTAAAAGAAGCCGTTCCCAACATGTTTAGAGCCAATTGCTTTCCCTTAGGGGAGCCCCTATCAAGGAAAATGCCAAATTTGTAATCAGTGTGGTTTTGCAGTATTGCTATCAATCTTACTTACTGCAAGGAGAAGAGATTTGTACAACACCCCCCTTAGACTTTCATAAGTTCTCATTGTGGCCACCAGCCATGTCCCTCCATTCCAACACACACATCTGCCATGCCAGTCATGCAGTCTCCATGTGAAGGGTTGCTATATTTGTAAAGATGTGTTAGTATGCAAGGCTCCTCTGTGCAAGGAGGAATCCTGTACTGTTCAGGATTCTCCCATTTGTAGTAGAGCCCTGCATATGTATGAGTGTACACATGTGCCCTCTTCACTCTGATGCCACTAATAATTTCTAATTGTTCTTGGCATCTGTGTTGTTGTGTGCATCTGTATGCCATGGCCATGACATGGCCAATCTTGTTCCCACTTCACCACATGGGGCTGGTGAGACATATAACCAGCTCCTTTGCTTTTAGATCAATAAACCCTTATTTGTATATGTCTATAAATTTATGTTGTTATTGTGGGACTGAAATCCCTTAAGTGAAGATAATAGAAGAGGCCTCTGTGGAACCCTTAATGGGAAGTCAGGGCACCAGGAAAGGATTGGTTTGCTAGTTTGGGCTTGTTACCTTGTGAACAAGGCCCACCCTGTCAGGAAGTGGAATGAGGAAGCTACCTCAGGTGGAAGATTTTGCATACTGTTGTCAGTTATTGTCATGCTATTTAATTTTTTGTGCATACAGTTTGAAATTTCCCACCTAGTGTGAAGTCATTTCCACATGTGTTGGACAGAATCTTTTGAGATCTCCTGCTCTTAAGGATCTGGTGCACAACAGTTTACCTGTCAAGGAACTACTGAGCCTCTGCCACAGAATTCTGGAGCTAAGACAGGCCACTGAGTAGGCCTGTCGGACCTGACTGTAACCCCCACATGAATTCACAGTGGCACATTAGAATTTACCCAACACTCCCCTGCCCTCTGTATCACTCAGGAAGATTGGCAATAGGAGGCAAGAAGCTTGTCTTCCACTCCAAACATCTTCATCACTTTCCAAAGAATCTCAGTTGGAAAGCAATTTGCCTGATTGAGTACAAATGGTTATACTATTGTTTTAAGAAC